ATATATATATATATATATATATATATTTAGATTTATAAGTATATATCTAATTAAAATAATATAACATGGAGATATTTTAAATTTGAATCTCTATTATTATTTATTTGTGAAAACACATTTATTACTGTTGAATTTTTTATGATAATTAAAAAAATAAAATTATTATTATTACTATCAAATTAAATATAAATAATTTTTATAATTTAATTGTAAATAGTTGTTATTTATTTTTTAAATAGTTATGTAATTAAAAATGTTTAAATTTAAAAAATATCAAATTGAAAATAGATTTTGGACATACATTTAATTATTTATACTTTTAATATTTTTATTTATTAATTAATTTCTTTTCACATTAAATTATTAATGATATCAAACTTTTTATTACATTTACTTAATATCTAAAATAATAAATTATACTCTAAAATGCACTATGAACAAATAATTAAAAAATTATGAGAAACCTTCATACAATAGCTTTTATAATGATATTATTAATATAAAGATCTAGTTTCAGACGAAAAAAAAAAAGTGTAGTGTGACATATTTTGTTTTATCCAGGATTTAAAGTAGAGAAGAGAGAAAAGAGATGAGTCTGAGAAACGCGTAAAGAAACAGAGAGAGAGAGAGAGAAAAAAGTGACAGAATTTTGTCATGGAGGACAATTACAATCTGACCCTCCCACCACTTACGTGGTCTTCTTCCATAGTCCACTCAAACCCAGCTTGTACTCCCAGCAGAGCAATTTAAATCCCACCTCTCCCATCACTTACCCAAGTGGTTTCCTTTCTCCATCCAACCCAGTTTGTACTCCCAACCTGCAGCAGACGACGACGAGGGCGATGGTATGTAAAGTGACTGAAAGTAAATAATAAAACAGTGATATACAGAATAGGTTCTGGAAAACATAACATCAATGAAAAACATCTTTTAATATTTTGAAAAAAATAACATCATTATATTATAGTTCATAAGATAAAACAATGTCAAAAACTATGTTAATCTTATTTGTAACATCACATATTTTAATAAAATAAATCTTCTAAAATTAAATATCACAAACTTAATAACTATAAAAACAATAATTCATTACCCATTATAACACTTATAATTTCTTCATTTTTCCTTCTCTTTTTATTTTAATAAAATAAAAAATAAAAATAAAAATAAAATCTATTTTGGAATTCAGTTATCGAAGAATCACATTCTAACTCGTATTTTAATCATAATTTCAAAAAAATAAGGTCAGAATTCCATTTTCGAGAAATGGAACTCTAAACTAAAATAAAAAGCGTGTTATTTATGTAAATATGGTGTCCGATATGTATAATGGTAATTTTAAAATCAATATGTTTTATTATTTTGGTTTGATATTGGATGATATTTTTGTGATGTATTAGTTGAGTGAAACCCACAAGGGGTTCATATTGAACTTACATTGGAATATGTATGAGACTGTAAGGTTGACGTCTGAATGATGTTAAGTAAGAAATGAGAATAGTTTTTATATTTAGGATCAGGATAGACGTTTAATTGATGTTGGAATATGAGAGTTTTTTTGAATACATTTGAGTATGTGAATGATGAGCAAGGGATATGTTTTCTTGTTGTACTTAATAAATCTTAAGACTATCAGCCGTTTAATACGGGGATAACAACTCCCTTTGACCTTGTGTGTGAAAAGCAAGGAGTGTTCGGGTATTGAACCTTCTTTGTATGGAGTGGTGGTGTTTGTCTTGTTTTGGTGTGACAGGAAACATGTTTCTTAGTTGGATGACAGGACTGCTCGAACAGACCTGTAGGGGAGGCTACATGGGACTTGTAGGAAAGACTACAGATGCTTGAGATAGGGTACAAGAGTGTGACTGATTTTTTTCACTGTGAGATTTATGGTATTGTGGAGGCTCATGGTGATATTTGTGATGGGATAATCTTGATAGAGGTATTAGTGATGATGATTCATAGTGACGATGTATTTAGAGACTATGTTGATAAGAATAATGTTGATGGTATAGTCATGATATAATTAATGAAGATGTTGATGATGAGTGTAGAAATGATTATGTGAGTAAGTGAAGCATTAAGTTGTATTTACTTGCTATGTACATGTTATATTGTTATTGATTATGTTATGGTAGCTTATCCATATTTGTTTGTATTTGTGATTGTGTGTATTGCGATAATCGTATGATCCTTAGTTATTCAGTATCAATAAATGTTGCAGATACTCTATAGTATGAATGACAACAGATTGAGTCAGATACGAATGATGCTTACTCGCAACTTGATTCGCAAAATGAAAATTTTACCCGAAACCCATCCGCTACCTTCGCGGGTATATGTTTTGAATCATGCATTTTAGAAATACTATAAATGAATTAATTTTATTTCATGGTTTATTTTAGTAATGTCAGAATTTTGTAATTAGATTATATTTTTATTAAAATTAAGATTTGTTTTAATTCAACATGTTTAAAATATCAAAATTTTTAATTAACACACTTTTTCCGCATTAAAATGATTTTGAAACATCTTTTATCGTGACATCAAGAAGCTGCCAACGACCATAAAATTCTTTTTCTTATCATCCCACAACGACCATAAAAGTTAATAAAAAATATATTTAAAAAAATAATATGATTTTTTCGTACATCAGAAATGAAACAAGTTAATGGAGGACTTACAATCTCACCCTCCAACCACTTACGCGGTCTCCTTCCTTAGTCCACTCAACCCATCTTGTACTCCCAGCAGAGCAATTTAAATCCCACCTCTCCCACCACTTTTCTCCACCCAACGAGCCACTGCGGGGCAGCAGAAGAACAAGAGTGGAATCCTAATCTCCTTATCAGTAAATTTTCTTCACTCTCCCATGTTCTTTTGGATTTTATAAATTTTTTTCTAACTCAACCTAGTTGCAAAATTGCGAGTTTGACAAGTTCACCGTTCTATCTAAGATTGGGGATAAGTAACTAAATTATATTTTCAGTAAACTAACAAAAAACTTAACTACTTAATATTATATATAAATTGTATTGTTTAAGAGTTAATTTTAAAAAATTGAACTTATACTAATTAATTAATAACGAAATCTTTTCAAGACAATCCATGTAAGTCAATTTTACAATACTCTTGTTTTTCCGTTCAAATTTTTCACATAATCTTTACAACACATGTTTTATTTTGGATTTTAAATATTGTTCTTTATTTTTGTGATTAAGATAAATTATATATTTTTAGACTTTATACAAGTCATATAAAATATTATTATTATCATAGTGCAGAATATAATTTTTACTATTATCTATTAAAAAATTCAGATTAACCGAAATTATTTATCGGAAGTTAATATAATTTCAAGAATAGATCTAATTATTAAAAGTTTGTTTTACTTAAAAGTTTACTCTTAAACTTTAGAAAAATAATTTAGATTTATTTCAAACCTTATGAAATAAATAAAATTAAATAACTTTATAATATTTTCTATAAAAAATAATTAAAATATACATATAGTTCTAATAAATTGTATTTATTTTTGTTTTTCCTTTATGTTTTTATTCTTTTCTCTAATTCTTTTTCTTCAAAACTTGTGCCTAGTTCTCAAAGCAGAAACATATTTAGTTTAATGATAAATTATTCTTACAAAATATAAAATATATTTTACCTTTTACCTTTAAATTATATTTGTCTAACAACTTTTCATTTTCTTTTATATCATAAATTAGATATATAATTTAATTTAACCATAAAACTAATTTTTTAAATAATTTGAAAGATATATATATATATAACACAAGACATTCAAAATATTTATGGTCAAGAATAATTTCATGTCAATTTTTATTTTTTAATAAAATAAAAATAATAATTATGAGATTAAATAATAAATAATGGATAATGATTAAATAATCAATATTAAACAATTTATATTGTCATATGTTAAAAACCTAAATGATTTGGAACCAATAACTATTAAGAAAGTAAAACAGGAAAAATGGAATACAAGATGAAAATTAGATAGTCAGTTTATGTAGTTAATAGAACTACAAATGCAAAGGTTCAGTATCTCTAAACTAAAGTAGAAAATAATATAATTTAGTTTTTAATACAAATAGTTTAGTTTTTATAGTATAAAAAATAATAGATAAAATTAAAGTTCATTACAATTACATTAATTATGCCCAGCCTTAATTCTACTCCTTATTATCAAGTTTACATTAAAATCGAGTTTAATTTTGAGTTTAGAAAGTATAGGATTTTTACATGAATTATTATGTGGACTTTTTTATCCGTAACTATGTAGACGATATAATATGAAAAGTATACACACTGTATCTCTCTTAATAAGTAAGATACTTTTTGTATCTATTGTAACCACGGTTGATAAAATATACTACTTTCAACCACCTCTAATTACATTAAAGTTTTATATAACTTATATGTAAACAACACATTCCCAGAATGTAAACTTAATTAAGAAAAAGGAGTTTTATAATTTTAAAGAATGGAATGATTGTGAATGTTGTAAAAATTTTATTATGATTGAAGCAGAAGCATTGTTTGGTGGTGCTGGAAAAGTTTCTGCAAGGAAATGGATGGGAGAATGACTAAAGCTGCAGAGACAGGAAACGTTGACGAACTAGAAAGGTTGATGAGAGAAGACATATTGGTGCTGGATAGTATTGCCTTGCATGGAGCTCAAACTCCTCTACACATTGCATCAATGTGTGGTCACGTTTCTTTCGTACAAGAAATGTTGAAACTGAAGAAGCAATTTGTGTATGAACTCAACCAAGACGGGTTTACTGCCATGCACCTGGCCTCTGCCAATGGCCATGTTCAGGTCGTGCTTGAGCTTCTCAAAGTTGACCATCAACTGTGTCAAATTCAGGGGAGGGAGGGAACCCTTCCTCTCCACTGTGCCTCTGTCAAAGGAAGGATCCATGTTATGACGGCGTTGCTCTCTGCTGCTCCACTCACTGTTCAAAGCAAGACGGCCAGAGGGGAAACTCCGCTTCATATTGCGGTAAAAAACAACCACTTTGATGCAGTTAAGTTGCTGTTGGAACACGCCAAGGGATTGAAGATGGAAAGAGTAGTGTTGAATGACAAAGACAATCAAGCAAATACTGTCTTGCATCTCGCTGCCTCGAGGAAGCAATACCAGGTATCTGATTCAAGGGATTTAATAAGATCATTTACATAAAGAATAAAGCATAAAAATTGATAGTAATTTTACATTAATGCTAGAATTCTGAATAAAATAATAATCTAAATCATTAGCATAATTGATATTGAATGATGTTAGAGCATATATAATGAGTAGAATTTGGAGCGCAGATAGTTGATCTGTTGTTGGTTGAGGATGATGTTGCGAAAGAAGTGATGGTGGTGAATTCGGTGAACGAGAGAGGAATGACCCCTCTTGATGTTCTTACGGTATTCCAAAGCGAAGCCGGTGATTTAGAAATTTATAGAACCCTTGTGAAAGCAGGAGCTAAGAGTGGAAAGGACATTCAGAATGAGAATGAAGCTGGTAGAATAGAGCAACCTTTGGAAGTGGAGATCGTTCACGAAACCCATGTTCCTCCAAGGAACTGCACTGATGAAAAATCAAATCTACCTAAAAGAACTTTTGAGGAGTTATTTGCATACAAACCTAACAGGGATTCTACAAATGATGTGCGTACTATACTGGTAACCGTAGCTGCACTTATGATGACAGCAACCTATCAGGCTGTGCTTAGTCCCCCTGGAGGAGTTTGGACGGAAGACACACACCAATACAGTGCTGGAAAATCCATCGTTGCTACAAAATCAAAAACAACATTTTTGTTGTTTATTCTGGGCAACAGCATTGGATATTTTACCTCTTTTCATATGATCATTTGGCTAACGTCTGGCTTTCCTGGGCAATATCTTTTGATTTTGTTGTCATTTTTCATGTCATTCAACTACAGTGCATCCATGCTTAACCTTGTACCAAGCGATGACAGGATTTCCTACATGTTAGCATTGGTATGTATAATGTCTGGCTGCTTCGCACCCGTTGTTCCTAATCTGCTGAGGCATTTCCGAGCACAAAAATAACCAAATCTTGCTTATTTCCATGCTCCGTTTGCTTCACTTTTGTAGTTGGATTAGTTTCACATATTCAAGACTTAGTTTGCATAATTCAAGTTTTAATGTTATTCTCTAATCTTCATTATGACGCCAATACTACGATAATATGGCTTTCTTTGTCACTGTAATTTTCTTCAGTTACAAAATTTTCATTTTACTTTTTGTCATCTAATTTTATTAAAAATATGTTAAAAAGTTGGTCTGACAGTGATGCAACCTTTCCATTCTCATGTTATCGCTATAATAAATTAAACCCTAAAAAAATTAAATTTTTATTACTTTTTTTTTAGCTTCAGTAATTTCTCACAGCAATGCCTACTTTTCTTATACACAACCTCGTCCATTTAATTTATTTAATACAGTGTCAAACAATTAGATGGTACTAATCAAAAGATAAATAGTTGGAACTTACACTTTTGTTTTGAAAAAAGAAATAATCACAATTAAAAAAGTGAGTAATTATTCACGTATACCTTAATTTTGTCTACACTTATTGTACAATTATTTTTTTGTGTCACATAAAATAATTTATATTTGATTACCTTAAGTCCTTAAATGAAATTAAAATGAAAAACTATTGAAAAAATATCTTGTAATGTGGCAGTTTTAAACTTAAATTATACAAAATAATTAGTTGAAATAATAAGTTATTATTATTATTATTATTATTATTATTATTATATATATATATAACTTTATTGTCTTAATTCTTGGTATAAATAATTATCTTTAAATTGTGCTCACTCACTCCAGAGTTACCTACTATCCACACTAACACACACACACACACTCTCTCTCATACTTTAATAAAATAAATCTACGAAATAAAATATGACAAACTATAACCACCACAACCTGTCATATTTATAATTTACGGAAAAATAATATTAAAAAGAGACATGATACAATATTTTTTACAGCTTGTTAAAAAGAGGGGAAACTCCCCTTAGTCTTACAGCTGGTTAATCTTGGTGGTTTGGTTTGCAATAATACTTTTTTCTTCTATTTTTTTTTCTTGTATTTATTTGTTTTACTACCTAGTTTTCCGTTGTTGTGTTTGTGTTTGTTGATATTTATCTCTTATACCTTGTTTGTATTTCACTGAATTTTGTTTTTTAGGTGTGGAACAGTAATGTCTCACAAGAGTTATGATGAGGATACTAATACTACTAAATATGAATATAAGAGTTACGGATGAGGATACTGGAGCTCATTCAACATGTTTCTATAGTGGGTCAAAGCTTTTCAAATAAAAGAATTGCCCGATTAACCCACGAGACTGGCGCCAAGCTTAACCTTTCTCATCCCTAATATTAAATTATATTTAAAAATCTTACATAATTTTATGACCTAGATATTACTTCAGAAAACATTAAACACTTCTAAAAAAACCACGTAACATATACTTATCACTATATTATTATCATATATAAAACAATGTAATGCTACTTTATTAAAAAAAATACTTAAATACAGAAATTAATTAAAATCATTTAAAAACTATTCCGATGTAACAATTTTTTAAATATTCAAAATCATATCAAAATTTTAATTATATTTATTAATACATTACAAAAATAATTATCTTTTAATTTTTATTAAAATTACTTTCTGTACTGTGTAAACTATCACTTTAAAATATTATTAATAAAATGAAAATAATATTAATGTATAAAATAAATGATAAAATACTTTCTTAATAATATAATAAATATAACTCAAATAATTTTCAAATTAGTAAAGTATTATAAAAAAAACATTAAAAAAATATACAGCTGTACTCACGGGTTTTAAACTTGTACTTACATTATAAATTATTCTTTATGGTACTAGTATTCAAAATAGCCTTGTATGACATAGGGGTAAAATATTGAAAAGGAAACTTTTAC